GTTAGCAGTGTGCTGGCCATCTTTGGTTTGTAGAGGAAATCTTAACCATGAACGATCAAGGGGGCTTAAAAGAATTTTTTAAATGCTAGCTTTTTACTCAAACTTGTATCTATACTACATCACGCCACATTAAGTAGAAGCACACATCACAAAATTGCACAGGGATTACAATATTACATCCAGTCTGCATAAAATTGAATTCCACTACTGACCAGGTCACAAAATGGCTGCACTTTCTAGTCTAAAACTAATTTGCATATTGTACACATGTAGGACATTTTTTTACTTCAGTCACAATAATGCATGCAAGTTTGTTTTTTGTAACAAATTTTGTAAATTTGCTCATGCTACCTAGTTTCAAGAGAGCCTTTTTTGAACATTTGCAATAACTCACCTCTTGTTAATTAATAGTTCTAGTGCATGCATATGGTGTATACAGGTAAGTAAACATGCAATTTTTTCACATTCTAAAACTATGGCAGTTTAGGCCATATTGTGCTGCCTGCATTTAATCTGTAATGCAGTGTGTCTTAAACGTTTCAATCCCGTATTAATAGGTGGCATTACACATAACACCTATATAGCAGCAAAGCTAATACAGCTTGTGATTAAAAATGTTTAAAAATAGCTAATAAATCAGATTATCTTGAGGTATTATTTCTTGCAAGTCAAAATGGAGAGCAAAAAATCAACCCTAATTTTTAGTTTATGTATACACTGAAAATAGCAACAACAATAAAAATAAGCTTTTTGTAGCAGACATATTCCATCTTCACTATTTTGCTACCTTTGGTAAATTACTGGGGCAGATCTTGAAGTTAAAAACCCATGTTTAGAAATAAGTGCACGCTTCACCCACTAAATATAGCAGCAGACTGTGTGCCCCTACGCAAAAACATTCTCATATCTAGTTTTAACTTTACATATAAAAATAACTTGGAGAAAATACAAAAAAACATTTTATTTTAACATGAAAATATCACAAAAATTAGTAAGCCTGAGATGTAGGGTTTTGGTGAAAAACAAGAGGCTTGTAGTGTTTTGGCTGCTGATAAAGATGCATGTATTGATAGCTGGGGTGAAAAGCAGAAGAATGCACTTATTTCTTCTGCATGTCGGTATCTTCAAACACAGTAAGCCACATGCACCCTTCTTTCCTTATGTAGATGCTGGTTCACCATGTTTAATTCCAGCGGAAGTGGATCTGACGTGGGCGGTCAGCCCCCTCCTTTACCAATGGCTTATGGAATTCACGTCCTGCACGAGAGTGGATATTTGCCCAACAAAACTCACAGTAATACTGCAGGCAAGTGACATTGGCACAAAAGAAAGGAGCAAACTTTCCACCGCATCGTGCACCCTGGCATTCGTCACACATCTGGTCATCCAACACATATGGCTTTACCTCCACCTGTTGGAGTTAAAAAGAAACAATTCTAGTTAATACCTATTCCTACTTGAAGCTACATGAAGGCATTCAGTTTTTTTCTGGTTAAAAAACAAAACAAAACAAAAAAACAGAAGTCTGAAATCAGACATATTAACGCCTTTATCTAACCAATCCGTTATTACCCTTTATCATTTATCAGCTACAGATCTATCCATACAGTAAGCAGAACACTTCAAGGCAGATCTTTAGAAGCACACTATATACATAATAAATAGCTACATCAGAACCTCCCCTGAATTTATTCTGGAAGGATGTTATCGGCAAATGATAATATGGAAGTATATGTAGAAAACAAGCAAACAAGCCCAAAGGTCTCCCAACTAATCTCGTCAGCTCCCGAATGTACCCCAACATGACATCCAATTCTATACTGTTTAGCAAAAAATAATTGAACATACAAGTATGTAACCATTTATACATCAACCTTTTTTAAAAATAAGTTTAAGTCTCTGCATGTACTACTTTTGTGTGCAAATTAAAAGTCCTTTCTGCAGGCTGGAATACAGATCTTCTAGCACTCCTGTTCCCTGTAAATCCACTCCCTATTTCTAAAATATGGTCAAATTTTGAGCTACAGATTTTGGTCATCTATTACTTTCCCTTTTTGTGGCTTTGAGCTGCACAAAAATTTGTATTCAATGTATTTCTGAAAATATTTTTAAAAGACCATTTTGCAAGTCTACAGACTGCTACAAACACCTGTCTTACACAGCTTCTTTCTCCCAAACTCATCTGACTGCCAGAGTGGAAAAGTGGCAGGAGTCCAGTGGTAAATTTGCATTATGTCTTTGCATAACTGAACTGTTACAGACTGCGATCAGACAGGAAGAACAACTTCATAATAAAACAGAAAATGAGTTGAATCCATCATTAAGGAATGTATTGTTGTCTTCCACATTTTCCTCACTTTTAAAGATGGTATTTTCTGCCTTTTGTTGGCAAAAAGAGTTATTCTAGTTCATACTAAAACTCACTGCTGTAATACATTTTTTTCTGAGATACTATTTATTACCTGAGAAGAATGCTACATATAGACATCGACTTTATGTACTATACTCGGACAGAATATGTTTGAAATAATAAGAACTTTAAAATGCTATTTTTTCCATTGTGTCTCCAGAGGAAAAAATTTACACATACAGCTACCCACCCAGAAGTTTTATGGCAGAATAGTCTTCACGTTCTTAGCTTCAGAGGTAGAGGTCATACTTGACATGTCAAACGCATCTATGTTTGAAATTTCGAGTATGCTTCTTCCAGTAATCTATATTCAGTACAAGCTCTACTTCTTATTTCACTAGTGTGACCTGCCTTATCACAAATTACACTCAAACTTTCCAATAAACAGGTACCTTATGCAGTAACTGTGTTCATGGTTCAAAATTACTGAAAGCATGAAGCAGCATATATTTCAAGCTTTGGTGCATTAATGCACCAAGATTGGTATGAAGATGATTTCAAATGTATTAGAGAAACACTTTGAGGAATGGAAGCATTGCATGAAGCGGATGCCGACTGCTGGCATATGAAAGTTAACAACATTTTAAGGAATTGTTTAGAGCTGAAACTCCAAACGAGTTTCAAGGAAATGTTTGGAGCTGAGCTTTCATACATGATAAAACAGGATGAGAAGCACTTTACTGAAGAAAAACATCTGCTAGAGAAACTAAACGTATCTACACATCAAAAGAACTGGAGAGAAGCTGCAGAGTACTTAGGTAAGGAAGAAGTTAGGATCACAGACAGTTTGTTAAGTGACTGTGACACTAAGATTTCCAGTTAAGGTAGGAAAAGGTATGTGCAAAAAAATGCTGTAACTACTTTGAAGTAAAGTTCAGAAGGATAAACAGGTGAACTGCAAAATTTAGCAATGAAAAAAGACTTTTACACAGACAAAACTGGTTATGAAAAGAATGTGAAAGGACAGCAGACCTACAGAAACTGGATATAACTGGTATAGAAAGGTTATGCTAAGGTAAAGGGTAGGAGAACAGCCTGCCTCTAAGATTTCAGTGAAATATATAAAATATTGCTTTATTGGCCAGCATACTACATCTCAGATGAAGGCAGTACCCGAAATAGGACTATCTTCCTCATTTACAAGAAGAGTGGTTTACAGATTTCTACAAATTGCTTGCTCATCTATAAATCAGCAGTAATACTGATTCCAGAATATTTTCAGAGCCTGAAAAGGCATTAGTGTATAAACTCCATGGAGCAAAAAACTATTTCTGAAAATAGCTTTTTTCATACTTTCAGAAACAGCTAAGAGTTAAGGTGTTCCCTAAAGAGAGGCTGTTCTCTATTAATCCTCAGTAACGCAAATAAACTGGGTTGTATAAATATATATAATTATATAAATAATGACTGACCATATGATTTAATTAGAGAAGATGATTTAAAAAATAAAGATTAAAAACACTCTGAAATAAAGAAAAAGTTCATAAACCCTCCCCATCACAAGGTTTAAAGACAAATGGGCATTGCTGTATTTTGCAAGTGAAATACCTCAGGAGTAGCACACATTTTTAAAAAGAAGAAAAAACAAGGATGCTAATAAAAATGCCAAAATTCCAGATTTAAGAGAATACATTGAGTCAAAAAATTAATTTTCAAGACTTAGAAAAGCAACACTAAAGAAAGAACACAAATTATATTAATCAAAAAATAAACTGTGAGAATTCAGATATTTAAAGACAAAGCCTAAATCTTCCTCCCCTCTCCCCCCCCCGACCTCTCCAGCCCATGAACAGTTATCTACAGATACTAACTATACTTGTTTCTTCCTTTTTTTTTTGGTAATAGTGATTGAAGAAATCATTTGACTATTGTTTTTATAAATTAAGTCTCACGGATATAACTCAAATGCTGTGCTTCTGAAATCTAGTATTCGGGGTAGATTTTGTGGGATTTTGCCCTGTCCAAGCTCCAAGAGGTCTGCAGCACATGCTCACTGTTTTACCGGAGATTTACTGCCCATACCCCTTTAAGTATTTCAGTGTTATATCACACATTAGCAAGTTATATCCCTTTCTCTGCAAACAGCAAGCACTGCCATTTCAGATGCCTGCTCAGCATCCAAAGAGCCCTTAAAATCTCTGGTGACCTATCATAAAAAAACCCAAAACAAACAGCAAACCTACTTGGGAAGTGCAGCTTTCAAAGACAGGTTCATGCCTTCCTTTCTCTTATGAAATGGCACTGCCAGTCTACCATATGCTCCTCTACTGCAAAGGACGATCTCATGGGAAAAGAAAGACGAAGATAAAAGCGTCCCCTAGTTTACAGGGTTCAAGTCCATGTCTCCCACCTTTGAGGGAGAACCAGTTTGGATGGGACCCAACTGTCCACCTCTAATTTTAAAGTTAAGTCACTTCACAGCCAAATGCACTATAGATGGTTCCTGAAACACACTACGCTATACCCAATTCTGAAGCTAAATGACCCATTTAGCATTTCTTCAGAAGGAGTTCTGGATTCTGGTCCTTACTTCCATTTTGTCCCAATACTCAAATGCAAGATGATTAACAGTTTTATTTCCCCTCACACAGTCACAGTGTCAAGGCCATTTTTCCTGTTTCATAATTAGCCAAAAGGTAGAGCTATTAGTCAAAGTCAGCTGCAAGTCACAAGGACAGCAATCCCACCAGAAAAATGTAGCCGTCACATCATAACGTGAAGCCTAGTTCACTACCCACATTCAGACCCACTCATTCTCTGGAAAGGACCATGTTTGGGGATTTCAGCTCACTAGGCAACTGGTATCTGAGAGACAGATGTAAAGCTGCACTACTCTATCTGAAAGGAGAGAAGTACATGCTACCTCCCTACAGCAGACTTTTGTTAACTGTACTACTTTCTTTTTCCCATGTCTTTGATCTGTAGAGGAGACTAGACCTTGAACTACTTTACTTACTCAACCCTTCTTCCTCTAAGACCTTTTTTTTTTCAAAAAAAGAACATCTATTAATACCAGTGACTACCTCTGCAGCTCTTGACATCAAAACTAGTGACACTTAAAACTGACATAATTTAGATGCCAGTTTTCTTTGCTACTCTTATACTTCTAATTAGGAGTAATGAAGTTGACTAGTCTTAATAAAAGTTAGTTTTGCTTTAGCTAGCAATAAGTATCTGGAGCAACCAGAAACGTACATTGGTAAATACTAAGAAGACTCTCTCAAACAGAAAGGATAAGACATTTTGTATTTTAGGTGTTGAGCTTGATTGATTTTCTGAAGTGCTTAGCACTGACAATTACGGCTGAAATTAAGGGCAGCTGCAAATAATAAAGCTAATCGGAAACCAATGAATACTAGAGTTTCCTATGAATGACAGAGGAATTACCACAGTATTTGGTTTCATTAGAACAAGGGAGAGAAAAAGATTTTCAAGCCCTTTGCCCATACACAGCAAAACCAGGAACTCCAGAATGGAAAGAACATATGGTCTAACATATGTCCAAGGAACAAACTGCTGCTCTGTGGAATGCATGTTGTTCATTTTGGGGCATTCACGATTTAACTCTTGGAACTAGTGGACAGGAATAGTGAAAGAAATGTAGAAGCTGGCATGAAAGCCAATCAAATCCAATGTTACCACACCCTGAGAAGTTCCTTTATGATCACCACTCTCATATTTATTTATGTTTTAATTTCTGTATAACTTACTCGTTTATCAATATCGCCATGCTGAAGTTGAACAAACCGAGCACTGATGGCAGCAATGTAACTCTGCTGATTGGAAAAAGCAACACGTCCAGCACCTTTTGGGTATTTCAGCTCAGGGTCAGTATCAATTCCTGCGTAACAAACTCCACCATAAAGACGGTCCATGATCATAGCCAATTCCACTATTAAGAAACAAAATAATGTTCATTTAAACTGTTCTTAAAGTACAAACTTTATATAATATGCTTGCATTTAAAAATACTAGAAAAGTTAATTTTAATAATTAATTTGCAACAGCCAATGTTAACAGTAATAACAAGAAATATAAAAACATATTAAATAAGCTATGAAATACTCAGCAGACAGATCTTTCACATTGTACGTACATACATCCAAGGAACAACGGAACTGTAAGTCCTTGCAGTCCTTGATAACCTGGAACTGAAATTCCAGGGCAGTTTTCTTCAGGGGATTACAGCAAAAGACTTTTTGGGCAGGCATGGAATGTAAGCTGTATAAAATAGATCCACATGCCACAAATTCCTTGGTACATGTTCTCTGGCTATCCTAATGCTCTATGTCCTACTTGAATTTAAAGATGTAGTTAGCATCTTTTCATCAGCCACACAGAGCTTGATTACCTCTACAGCGCTATACTTATCATAGATACTGAAGTTCATAGCAACAAATATCTCAAATTTTACAGATCAAGTATTTTAGCAATCTTCTAGTAATATTTTATACTGAATTCAGTTTTGCAATTCAGTTAGGTGGAAAATATTATTTTTTTCAGAATTAGTATCCTCTGTATAAGGGTATAAAGGTGTCAGCAGTCATTGATGTTCAATAGTTGTTTGAAAAGTCTCCTGAAGTTTTACTGCTTTTTTGAAGTCATGATTCTTATTTCACAATGCCATAAAAGTTTTGTTTTCACATATACAGGGCATTTGAAAGCTAAGTATAAGAATGCATCCATTAAATTTATCACAAACATTCAGCACAGTAATCTGGAGTATTTGGACTGAATTTAAAGAAAAATTCATCTGCAGTTGGAACATACTGTGTTTATGGTCATTTACAGAGCTTGTACTACAGTCAAAAGTACAGTCTTAAAAGAAAAATAACAGAAAAGCTTGAGCATTGCAGGTCCAAAATAGAAAAAATTAAGATTCTTGATACCCCAAATTTGCACTACCACTTCTTGGTTCTCCTACATCTTCCATCCTCCTACATGAAAGCTCATCTGTCTGTAAGAATAAAATTCATTACAAACTATGGAAGACTAATGAAGTCCAGGAGTCATTCTAATAGAAAATGGGATTTGAACCACTGCATGTTATGCTTCTACTTCCAACGTTCACTTCAACCTACTTACTAGAAGGCCACCATAAGATATCATAAAAGGCTACTGCAGTCAATCTCACAAAGCAGACTGTCCAGGTTGTAGATCAACCATTCCTCAGCTACAGAAACATTTAATTTTTCCTTCATGCACTCCGACAGGAGTCTAAGAAAGAGTCCTGCAACCTCATATAGTGTTGTGTCATACAGACTGTGCTAGCTCTCTGAATTTCTTCCTTTTTTTCCTCTATTCCTACTCCTTCAAATACTCCTTCATTACCTGTTTTTGCTTTGTCCTTATTAGCAAGAGTAACTGCAACCTGATAGTAGAAGAGTAGCTAATGCACAATGACAAGCAACTAAAAATAGAGCTCCACATACTCACGGAGCACGGCAGAGAGGTTTTCATAGCATTCTTTTAAAAACAAATTCTTTTGTGACATAGTTTACGCTACAGTTTTGCTAATATGATCAAAATCTTTTCTATAGCTTTAGACATGTAACAGTTTCCAGTAAATCTCAATGATGAACAGTTATTTATGGCCAAAGCCAGATGAAAACAGTTACTAGAGAAACGTAAGAATACACAAATACTGTACTGTGGTTATAACTATCATAACAGTCTTCTATTTTTATATGTATATATCCACATCTATCCATACATAACTATATGTAAGTATGCATGGTTCAAATTATTTCCAATTATCTCCTACTTTTAAAAATAGCCACAGATTATACTCACCAGCTCTTAATGGTCTAGGGACTCCTCCAACAAAAATTGTTTTTCGAGGATCAAGCGGCTGGGAACCATCCATCACAAAGTCACTATCACTTAGATTCCAGGGACGGATCTGAACCTATTAAATCGGGAAAGAAAATAGTATGCTACTTTAAGCTTCACTACATCGTGGATAAACGTTCATCAGCCTATATAAACTGTCAAACAGTCATAACCCCATTAGCTTAGCATGTCTAGGTACTCTGTTTTATTCCTATTAATTCAAAAAACTGCAATTTTAAAATCATCCAACTGTTCCAGATGTTGAGTTCTGCCAACGGTAGTTTGCTTTTGATTATTTTCATCGTCATCATTTCAAATGCAGCTTTAGACAGATGGCAGCTATAGCCTGCAGGCCATCTACTGTTTACTTACTGGCTTGTCCTTGATAGTAGGACTGGAAACACATAGATAGAGCTTTCCATCTTCTTCAATGCAGGCGTCAATCAGGGCCTGGACAGAACTTTCTTCTTGGAACAGGAGGAACGCATAACCTGAAAAAAAAAAAGCCAAACCAACTGAAATTTTTTCTCTTATCTTTATTTTTCTTAATCATCTTTGCCAGTGACTTTTCCATACAAATGTGTTTACTCCAAAAGTAAAGTCAGACCAATTCTTTGTTATTAGTCATCTTCTTTAATTATGTACTACCTTGCCATGATCAACAGAACTTCTATCCTTAAAATAATTGTTAAAAGAGACTAATAACCAAATAAAAGCAAACATGTCTGCTCTATAACGTACTGGAAGTCTAGGCTGAGCATAATTCATTGGCAGCAATGGACATTATACAATGAAAATCCGACTTGGCATAAAGGACTAATCTCTATTCTAGAGATTAGATCAAAGCACTTTGTTACATAAGTAACCCAGCAAACCTCCCAAACACTAAAAAAATAGGAATTAAAATGCTTATTTAATGCTACAGTAAAAACAAACAGTCAGACAAGCAAAGAACCTCGCATTAGAATACTTTAACAGTTAAATTTAATGATATATACAAAATCTGTTAGTTTACAGGTGCCCGATAGCGCAATTAGGGTTGTATTCTAAAATGAACTTTAAAAGGACCATAAATCCACATTTCTTTCTGAGATTACTACCAAGTGTGCAATTTTCACACGAAGTTATGTTTTATTACTTGAATGGAAAAGTAAATGCTGAAGCAGCTGCTCTAGAGTAGGTTTGGCAAGAGGGAGTGTGGCTGCTTTACCAAGCCTTTTGGAAATGATACTGTATTTCTGAGAGAAGCTAGTTAACCACTGGCAATTTCTTATTGCAGACAGACAGTGTAGGTTATCAAAGCAAAGATGGTAGGGTGCATCTTGAAGAGCATTAAAGAATCAATGTGTTAAGAAGAACATAAGATTAGAGAAACAAATGCACGACTGATTTTAGATACATGGGAACAAAAGTAGGATTTAAAGAAAAAGCTGTAAGGCCTATACTGGTCTTTCTAATAACTTGTACCTCATTTCTTACCCCACATACCACGGTCCTATCACAGCTACCTACAAGGGACACATGACAAGGTTTTATGTATTCTATATTTTTATGTACATCTTATTTAGTTTCTTAACAAATACGCTGTAGGGAATCTTTGGGCTTGGGCTGAAGCATTTCCTTGCGAAGACTGTTTTTCATTGCTGAACAATATTTTTTAGTGACAACCTGTTTAACTTAAGCATAATTAGTAATTATTTAGATTCAAAATCAGTTTTAATGGGGATATCTTCCAGTATTTATCTTAGAATTTAAAATCCACATATTACCCATGCAAAACTCACTCACTGAATGAGGGCATGTGCAGACTGGCATGGGTAAGTGAGACCAGACCTGTGTAACTGTCCTCACTTGTGTGGAAGCCAGGCACACACAATCCTGTTTGAATGGAGAGCTCAGTACAAGAACGATGGGAGTGCAAAAACTTGATTAAGCAAAAGGGAGGGCTAAACGCACATGATACCGACTAAGGCATCAGACATACAAAGTAAGACTCACCGCCAGAAGTAAGTAAAATACTTTGCCAGATGCTGATTTTCCATCAGTTCCTATCCTACAGCAAATCAAGGGTACTGCCATATAGCTCCCGATACAGAAAAATGGTCAGTGTCTCCACATGATCTATCACCTATATGTCTGCAGCTATTAATATGCTTAACTGTGGCAGCTTGTAAAAAGATAGAAAATTCAAATACAAGAATTTGATGAGGGAACAATTAGGATTACTATATCCTACCACACCTGAAATAAAAGGAAAGCAATACCAAAACTATATGTTAATACTGCTTTCTCAACATTATCTGCAAAACGTACTCATGTCTGGGTTCATCCCACTTAGTTTTAAGCATCAGACAGGCTTGTGTCATGAGCTTAGCTGTACTACTCCCCCTCTGAAGACATGGGGAAAGTTAGGGTATAGTCTGTACTGTCAAATTGGTCTGGCTGTAGTTTTGCTCGACAGCTCTAGTCCTTCAATGATTTATAATGCATTTTCGTTTGCTCCTCAAGTCTAGCCTGGAGGAAAATAACCAGTTCTCTTGGTGAAGAAAACTGGCTAGAGAAGATAATTTGCTCAGGTCCCACATTTTATAGCCATATACAGAGACAGCCAACACCTTCCAAAGAATGCTAGACTTGCACAGTCTGCATACAAACCACCATCACTTGCCCTGGACCAGGGCGCATTTCCTGGCACAAATCAATTATACATTAGCCATAGACTTCTCCAAAGAACACCAGTTACATAGGCAACCAGCCTATATTCATTAGCTAGAAAGTGCTTGCAAAGGAAGATTATACTTTTATCTTAGATATTTCATTTAGACATCATAAATTACGGCTGCTCTTGTTACTACAGCTACCACATGCCAACAACTGTATAGCACAAACTTTATTCTTACCCCTTTCTGCTTCCTCAATATATGCTTTTATTGGATTATTTTTCACCTCAACATCCATAACTCATGAACTATTGTGGATGTTTAATGTCTGCAAAACTAGTATGGTGGTGGTAAGTCACGTGCTTAAGTATGATGAAAAAGATCAAGTGTCTAACTAGACTTTTTGGACTAGCACTGAACTACAATTACCATGTGTGACAGAAAGTACATGTCACAGTGAAAGATGGTGGGGAGGCAGGGTGAAGAGTAGGAGGTGTTTTACTGTACTACGAGACAGCTTAACTTCCTAGTTTCGTGTTTTTTTGGTGTACCACATCAGTCATTTAACAGCTTCACACCCAATAGCAATACAAGTCTGTTTACAATGCAAAAGCAAAGCTACTCTAGTAGTTTTCTTTGAAGGAAGCTGCTTCATACCTTTGGGTCATATGTACACCAGCAGTAGCAGGTCATGATCAGGTATGACTTGCCAAGAGACAAAGCTAGTACGTTTTGTACGTATTTCACAAGGTGAAAAGTATTAGATGAAACACAGTCTTGTAAAAATTTCTTGTTCATGTGTACTTCTACCAGAATTATGCCTCCTGTGGGAGACAAAGTTTAGGTAACCCCTGTTAGTGTTTATCGCTTGACTGAATTCCTCTGCATAACACTGGAACTATTACTAATACTCCTATTTTCAAAGGCAACCAGTGTGGGTGACTTTCATAATACTTGCCCTCAGAAAATTACCGCAAATAATAAACAAATCTTTCTGGAGATGGTAATTGGCTTTAGAACTACATTCCCTGATATCTAAAGATACTGCACTGGTTACAGTCATCCTTACTCTGAGCTGACATCTCTCTTAATGAAACAAGACCAAGAAATGAAATATTTTTTTTCTTTTTAACGTATTGGGTCAGCACTGGAAACAGAAAGCCTATCAGATAAGCTTGAAGAGTCCTAGCTGTATTACCAAATTAAACCTTTTCATTTTTTGTATTTATTACAAAAAGGACGAATCAAAAGCAAAGTATTCTAGAGTAGATTCACACTGGTAGCTAACACAATTTTCTGAGCAACGTGTAATTTCTTTATTTCATAGTAATATGGAAGTTTACCAGAAGGAGAAAGGACGCTGCTTCTGCTATGCATACTCTGTGTAGAAATCAGAGAGCAGCTTTAAGTTCTCTCAAACTCCAGTTAACTCCTATTGCTAGTGGCTTAGAGAAGTCAAGAAAATCAGTGCAAGTCAGCATGGCACTCTCCACGCCAGTCAGTACAGGTGTATTTCGTTTTGGGGTTGATTCCTCTACTGTCCTGACAGACTCTCCCCAGAGGAGACTAAATGGCCTCAGTGCAGTGCAATTCTTGCCCACAGAATGCTGCGCCTTAGCTTAAATCAGAAAGAATCAGTGTAAACTGCAGGTTATTACAGACAATGGATCTACATTTGATGATGGGAATAATTCACATTTGGGAAGGACACACAACATTTAATCTATTCCTCTTTAAAGAGATCTCATCACCATATTAATTAAATTTAATCTTTAAAACATAAATATTTCACTTGTTGAGTTTAGTCATCTTTGATGGAGAATTAACTCCAAAATACACTTGAAGTGAAAAAAAGCAGGCTGATACAATTGTCATGTAGCTATTAGCTGAGACACTTTTGAGTATGGGGTAGCAGAATTCACTTCAAGATCCAAACACCTATTTCTGTATTTCTGCAGTGACTGGGTTTAAGCTCCTACTGTAGTACAGAGGTCCAGTTAATGTAGTCAGTGGTGACTGGACAGTTACTCAGCCGACCAAGCGGGACACGGAGGTGTCCAGCACCATTTATCCTCTATAGGACTTTGCCTAACCTTCAGCTGGTGCTCCAGAATGGTATGGGGCTTCAACAGGTGCCACGCCACATTTGCGAGACTTGTGTAGATCTTTTAGATATCCTCGGTTTGGGTACATGAATCAAGCTCAATGTGCTTACATTACAGTGACGTGAATAGCCTTCTATACTCCACTGACTGTATTGGCCAGATTCCTATTGATTAAAGGAAGCTTAGACACTAATCACACATGAAGCCACCTACAGTTACTTGCCTGAATCCAGAGTTTCAATCCTACCCAGTGTGATCAAATAAGCTGGTAACGAGTTAAATAGAACTTGGATGGACCTGGGGTTTTGCTTCTTAAGCTAGAAACAGAACATTTTCAACCTAATTTTTTCAGTCAGTTCTAAATTAGCAGTTAAGAACCTTGAATAAACTAAGCTACTGCACAGCTGCCGTGATAGAAGGCAACACAAACACCCAGACAATTAGAAAAGGCTGGGGATACTGTCCTGTTTAAATCAGATTATCCCGTTTGATACAGACTATAAATAGTACAGAGCACACAAACAACTGGGCATATTTTGAAAGGCCTTCTTTGGATTTGCATATCCTCCTGGCACCATTTCTTTGAGAGCTTCGTTATCATAAGAAGGAGTCCTCACCTCAGCAAGTTGCTTTGGACATGTGTATTGTTTCATAAATAAGTATATTTGCCAACTACATAATAACAGGAGTTATGATAAACAGCGGCAAGTCAGAAAGGAAAGAATTCTCCATTACAGTTGGCAGATCACTTACAGACTTTGTACTTTGATCTCAACAGAATAATTTTTTTCCGCTTCAGAACAGAGTTTCCTCATAAGATTAGTGTGAAGTTTTTAAAATTCCTGTTTTCTTTGGGCCTAATTTTGTGGTGAACCAATACAAAATGTAATTAGCTAAGAACAAGCGGTTAGTGTTTCTCAGGAGGCAGCCAGACTTGATGGATCAGGACACTTTTTGCATTTCTTCAAGCAAGGAAATACTTATTATGAGTTTGGCCTTCCCTCAGGACCTTCTGTAAGCAGAGAGCCTGGAAGGAACCACAGCCTGGAAAACTGAACAAGAATAAAAAAAAAAAAAAAAAAAGCAGGCTGTATGTCTTCACCACAGAGAAGACGATTGCGTAAATCAGTCCAGAACTGGATAATTCTAAGATGTCTTTGGAAAGTAATACTATGTCAAATCTCTAATGAGACTGAACAAACAAAAATATATACACTGAATTGACTCCATGTGGAGTAACAAATTAGAAACTGGAGATTAAAAGTAAAAAAAAAAAACCTCCTTGGGCTAATATAGTATATATTTCTAAATTGCTAATTACTGATCAATCCCAAAGCTTTCTTAGTATTTAGCCTATCTTTAGCAGTTTCAGACATCTTATTAAATATATGTATACATGGTTCCTGTCTGTACATGTAAAGCTTAAGAAAGACAAATTTTTAAGAAATTCTTCTACAAAATAATCATGGGCCATATCTATTGCACTGAAAAAACCCAGATATAAACACAGTAATATTCCACACTTAATAGGAAGCTGTATTTCCAGAGTATCTACAAAGAGAAACCTACACTGTATTTCAAATGTGTTAGGCTACATTACAAAACAATATTGAATAATGTAGTAAACTGAGAATAAAGTTTTAAGATTGAAGAACAGTAAGTGCTATTAAATTTCAAATAAGGATCAGTTAATCATGGGAAATCAACCCTTAGTTTGCAAGTGTGTCCCAAATTAATTAGATCAACAGATTGCAGTTCTTCTATTTGTACTGTCTGCTTTTAAGAAGCTCTGCTTACAATACAGTTTGGTTTTTTTTTTTACTGTGGTAATTATAAATATTCCAACTATATCAAAAAGCTTTATTAAATGAGGAAGTCTGGAAATACATCCTTAAGATGTTCATATGCTGAGACAGGACTATCTCCTTGGAAATGAATGCCAGAATCCATTCCTTTCAGGTAAGAATATATTACATCTTCCCTCCTCTATATATTCATCACAGTCTCTATGAGATGCATCTTCCTCAAAGAGTTCCTCAAGAATTTCTCTTGGTACTTTATGAAGAGAGATGCACTCCTCAGGATTATCAAATTTAACTTGACAGTAGCTTTGTGTATCAGGCTGACAATCAAAAAAGCCAAAGTCTCTTTGTTTGTCTTAGAATTTCCATGTAGTGTTCATAAATACTATTCAAAATACTTTCAATTCCATTTCCCACTCTTTAGAGGACCCGTCTGGGATAATAATCCTGTCTTTTCCCCAGCATAGATGGTCAGATAAATGAATGAAGAATCAGTTTATAAAGGCACTATACCTACATTTGTCACTTCCAGGGAAGGAATGAATTGCTGCATTTTCTACAAAATGAATAATCTCTGCATTGCTTTCATATCCGGATCAGATTTTTGCGTTTATTTTATATGTGCCAATACATGATTGTACATGTGCAGAGATATGCTACATAATTTAATTATTTAATGTACAGAATGGCTTTTCCAACACTTTGTAAGTGATATTAAAAAATCTAGTCTAACAGCAACACTAGAAATAGTTAAAAATCAATATTTAATCATTTATCAAAAAAGATAATTAGTGCTTCAATAGAAGTTCACATCCTAAAACTGAAATAAACATAACATTGATTATCTTGATCAGATACCCAAATGCATCCTTCTGAATCCTGCCTGTAACTTCCTATGAAAATTTTTATCTAATATTTAGTCTTAAAAATCTGACCAAATTTCAGTTTTGGAAACTGGATAGAAATGCAAATACAGAACTTAGGATTAATGACACATACAACTATATAACGCTGATCTGATATATGGGAAATCAGAATACGGAAGATCCTTCAGGAGTCCAGCACTGAACCAGGCACAAGACTAAAACAACACTCTCGGGTTTTAGACTTGGTATGTAAAGGAACCATGCCTGAACCTGCACTGAAACTGTAGAATTAACTGTTCACAGGGATTGTAAATTACACCCTTTGGAAAAAGATGAGACAGTTTCCCAGAGTACGATTTGCACTCAGCGACAGGTCAAAACCTTCCAACTCTCTTACCTTTTGGTGGAAAATAGGACTTGCTTTCTGCTTTGTGAGGCCAGTCTACTACCAAAGGCCCAAATCGTCTGAAGCTAGCAGTAATTTCATCTAGAAACAGGTATAATAGTTGCAATTAAAATAAATGACATAACTCAATGAAAAAGTACTATCAAGCAAAGATCTTTGTTTCTAGCAAAGGTTGACATTTCATGGAAAAAAGGAAAAAATTTTCCAACTTTCATGAACAAAAAAACTTAAACAGACACATCTTCCAAAGTGTTAATATTTACGCAATATATTTCTGATGTTTTTAAGCTTATGTTTGTTTTTTATTGCTTAATAACAGAAGCATATGGGCAACTAAAGGCAGTGGTGAAAACTGGTGTGGTACTTCCTTACATTCAGAATCTGGTTTGAATGCAATCGAAAAAATTTACTGTTTAGTGATGTACATTTCAGAGCGTTGTAGGTAGAAACTCATATAATAAGTACCACCACAATGAGCACGCTAGCAGTTTCCAGGAGATACCATGCGCAGATCAGGCACAGAAACTTAAAACTGCCCGTTTAGAGGTGCTTCTAACGTAACCATGAATAGTCCTGTTGCAAGATCTACTATGCCCCCTGCACAACTTTGTGACGTCTTTCTATCCCAGCCACTCCTTCCTGTCATTGACTGGAAGAACCTTGGCCACAAGGTAAAAATTAAACCACTCTAAACTCTACAAGAGCAGTAACTCATCAAACACAAATATGCTCCATTTCTTTCAGTCGCATCCTGCCATCAGCATATAAACAGGCAGGAAAGAAAGAAAATACATTTCCATGTGTCTTTGTTTAGCATTTGTATTAAAGGCAACAGTGCACATTTGAATTAGAAGCTAAAGTGCATCAAAAAAGGCTGAAGTATATTAAAATAAATCTCAGTACATTGCAGGAGAGCATCACAATGAAGATGAAACCAAAATATGGTCTTTCCATGTCTGAAAGTTAATTAACCACAGTCAGCTTATTTGGTTTGCAAGTTACTCTAGGATTACAATGAACCTTGTAAAGGGACTTCTGTTTACATTACAAAGCTAGCATGTAATTTACATTTACCTACACAGGAGAAACCTAATATTAAACAGCACGATTACTTCAAATCAGTACTATTGTACAAAGCAATTCCAACTGCATCACATAACAATCTGAGCTTCTGTGGTACATTCTATGTTCAATGCATCACAGAGTTCTCTGCCACTTGACCTTCCTCTGCCTTAGTTTCTCTATTTATGAACAGGAATAATATTAACCTTTCTAAACCACTTCTGAGATCTTCAGGTAATAGTAAAATAGAATTTGAAATTCAATTACTAATAGAAGTTTTCTATGAATAGAGAATAAAGCAGGCACAGATAGAGGACACTATGAAGGGCTAAGATGTATTTGAAAGGAATATGCAAGGTAAGCAGAGGCACAAATTCCAGGCATCTACAACTCTACAATCTGCAAGTGCAGAACCAGAGACAACTGAACCATTTCAAAACCAAAAGAGATGGATGACATCAAATGGTATTAAGCTCAACATATCCATCAACTCTCATTAAAAATATATATAGTTGTACCCTTTAACACCACAATATTATTTTGCTGGTTGGATTTTTTCTACTACTTCATTTAGGTTTTTCAAAATCTCTCTTTCTCTCTCCCTCCAAACTTAGTTTGCTTAGTTTTCAGGCAGCTCACCTTCATCAATGTCTGGTGGAAGACCTCCAACAAACACTTTCCGAGAAAAACGCTCAATTCGTTCTCCATTCTGATGAGCTGAATAGCAGGTAGGTGAATTCAAGACTCCAACTTGATCACTATGACCATCGTCCAGCAAACCATCATCTATTGGGAAGAGGGAAGAACGGCCTTAAAAAGAAAAGATAATAATATACATTAAAATAATTTTATGGCAGTACATGGTCATGTAATTTTAGGGAATGGGGGAATAGCAGTCTGGAAAGTAAAAATGAAAATACCAAGATATTAGAAGAGTACACATTAGTTTAAAGAAAAATTAAGAAAATGAAAAATGTATTAAACTTCAAAAATGAAATTGAAGATTGCAAGCTGACATCACTGTAAGCATAATACTTCATGCTACATTATATTGCAGCTACTCTACTGCATCTAGTAGGAAAGTAGTAATTTGTTTTTAAATAAAGGGTCTTATTTATGAAAAGATCATATTAAGGGCTGCTTAAGTGAGTTTCATTAGTCTACCTCTGGTTCAGCTTCAAGTTAAACTGATAACTTCCATCACCTGAATGACTACTGCATGCCTAAAAATCTTACACTTTAATTGAACAGAGGGAAACAGAAAAATCATGTACACAGAAGTTTCAAACAGGTATGTTTTCTCTTCTCTTTTAAAGGTATCTGATGCTGATAATGTAAGAACAGATTTAATTTCTAAAAAAGCAAAAGAGAATTTTAATAAATGTGCAAAATGTAACACTTGAAAATGAATCACAGTGCTGATTTATCCTTCTCGCTCTCAAATTTACCACAGTTTTGGAGGGAAGCCTTGTGGTGGTTCCTAAAACATAGCAATCTGCAGTAAGATTAGAGTTACCCTGGAAAAGCAAGTGTAAAATCTGAGAAGTTCACAGGATGGCTTTGCAAATGCAAACTATCAAAACAGATGTATAGGTGACAGGAGGGAGTGAAAACACGGTAAATCTGTCCCACTTATTTCCCCCCTATTTCATATTTACAAATTTTAGAGAACTCCAAAACAAAAAGCCTCGGAAGGCCAGATATGCATCTTAGTTTATTCAAACTTTCACTGCTTTAGGTTAGCAACATAAAGATTAATGACAGTTTCAAGTTCAGAAGTCAGTCTTTTAACTGCAAAAAGCCCCAAAAGAAACACTTTTGTGAAGCAAAATAAATACCCCACATCACCATTTCTGAAGTGTAATTTTCCTGTTTCTCTCTCACTCATTTTTTAAATAATTATTAATTAACTCAACTGCTTTCCAAAAACAAGTGAGCAAACAAAAGCAAAAAACAACCTAGTGCACTTTTGGGAAGCAAGTTAATTTTCCATCTCAAATAGCCAACTTCTTCCAGATTCACCCACTGCAAATCCATATGCAGGAGCAGTAGGTCCCTGATAGCTGAGTCTGCAGTACCTTAGCTGTGAGCAATACTGCAGTCTGTAACTTTTATCCCCTCTCAGGGGAACTACCAGGAAGGCCCCGTGGGAACACCTGCAGACATTGTGCTGATCAGCTAGGGGAGAAAGCAGTATGAAAGCCATTCACTTCCAGAAGACCGCCTGAGAATCAAGTGCTTAAAGACAAGGCTGGAGAACAGACAGCAAACATCATGACCAATGACCTATGTTGTGGTAATGCCTAATGACCCTGATTTGGTATCTAAATCCATAATAAAAATATAGTACATCAAAAATACCGAATGAAAACACAAGACGATAGAAAACAACCAAACATAATAAAACGTCACGAGGATCACAAACTAAAAGCAGGACCACAGGACTGTACTAAGTAACTGTAACTACAATATCTTTATGGTGGCATTTCACAGTTACATCTTAAGTAGGCATCCGATAGAGAGGAGTAGAGCAAGTGCAGAAAGCTGTAGCAGGCTCCTAGTTTCCATTAAGAATGGTGATATGCGTGTTTGAGAATATGACTAGTGGGGAGGAAGTGACGGCATCCTTGCTCGCTATCATAAGCATGCATTCAACTGCTAGATAACAGATCGGTAGAGTGCCTTTAAAAGTGGAAGCATGTAGCTGGTGCTCAATGGGGCAGAAAAGTGAGGAAGCAAGGGAGAAACAGAAAGTTGACACAGTTGGAGGAAGCAGTCAGGCAGATTCTTCTTGTAAATCATCTATTTAGACATAAGAGGAGCAAGATCATGCTACGAAGACTGCAGCAGCTGAGTAATGTGGATATGAGTTTCAGTTATGAAGACTAATAAGAATGATCAGATGTTAAAGATGTATACGAAGAAGTGGCAAGATTTAGTTACACAATCAAGAAAGGGGGATATACCAACGGATTTCTGAATTACTGATATGAACGATGGAGAAGATGGAGCTGTTATAGTGACAGAGAAAGGAAAAAGTGGCGAAAGGAAGAAGTAAGACTCAAGTTGGAGGAACTTGCAGGAAACGGCAAAAGTGGAAATTTTAAGAATTTTCACTAATATATGAGAGTTATTCTTAACATCTTAAACCTAAAATGACTGTAATTTAGCTGGTAATCTTTATAAAAAGCACATAGATTTGATCTTTACCTCTGCAAGTCTCTATACTGCAGGAAAAAAGAAACTTAAGTGACTTAAAAACATGCCAATTACAATAAACTTGTTGGCATTAGAATATTGCCACAAAAGCATTTAAGTGTGTGTGTGTGTGTGTGAGTTTTTGTTCTGTTTTTTAAAAAACAACACACAATTTATACTTAAGGAAGGTGTCTCTTTGGACCATGAAAATTATGTTTTTGTGTTTTTCTAAAAGTACTTCTTAGACAATTCCGACTTACAATATACACAAGTATATAGGGGGGAAAAAATAATCAAAGAATAATGCTCAGAATAATTTATTTTTTACCCACAGACCAATGTTAAAAATCTAAGAACAACGAGAATCTAAGGCTCTCTTCCCAGTATAAATTAAACCATCAGAACATGTTCTGAAGTGATACCAGAGAGATCAGTTTTAGTTTAATATGGGTAAAGGTTTGCCAAAAGCACTGTAGCTCCTCAGAGAGCTAAGATGACATAGAGGACAATGGATTAACACATTTAGAGTAACATGCTCTATATGACTCCTAATTCTTTCTTCTCCCTCCTCTTCACTTTTAAATGTCTCTCAAATGAAGAGAGCGAAAAGGTCATTTGCTAGGCTTTCACATTTCTCCCGATGACTGTGAACTAAAAGGATAAGCCCTTTTAAACTTGCTTCTTTTTGGTTTACGACAGTGAAAAGAATAAAGCAGAATCTGCCAGGAACTGTCGAAACACGATTGTACTGTTACATACATTGACCATGATCTAGATCATCATTCCACTCGACATTAGGGCTACCAAGCAATCAGTTATGAACCAATGCAGAGATCAAGAGAGAGACACATGAACTTATGTGTATGTTGTGAATACTGGAAGCTATCAAAGATCTTGATGTTTTTGCTGCACGCTTTACATGGTCTTTCTAACAACCGCAGGTCACATCCTCACATAGTTAAATCACTATAGCTTTTCCAAGGTCAGTGAGCATATATTGGCTTATACGACGAAAATCTGTTTACTATTTCTAAGAGTTGTCTACTAGATTTCTTGCTAAGTTCATGAAAGGCTTTTAGTTTCTACTCTGTACACTATCACTTCTACAGAAGCAAAAGAAGAGTTAGAACAACTAGCAAACTGTATACTTTTAAAGGGGGCAATGACTGCAAGCAGTAGCCATTAGCATGAACTAAATTATGATTAGAACTACCGTGTTTTAACTGATTAAAGGATTTGTAATTCAAACTCTAAAAAGAGATTAATGATCATAACAATCCAGACTGCACCCCTCCTTCCCTCACACCCTCCATCTTCCCCAAACTAAGACAACATGCAGATAAGCATTTATAATCAACAATCTGAATTAATTAATAGTAATGATCAGTAACAGCTCAATCAGAATTAATTGTACTGTAACAAACAGAAGTGAATTACCTCGTCTTCGCCCATAACTCCTCGCTGCATGCAAACAAAGGACAAATTGTAAAATGTCAAATAACTGTATCATGCCCACATATTAAAATATTTAAGATACAAAGAACTATGTGGGTAAGCAGTAAGTAAAAATCTGCATCGGTACTTGCTAGTGGTAATTGTAGATGAGAATGCATTAAACTAAAGTCTCACTTAAATACCATACTATTTTATTACTAAATTGACGTTAGCACCAGCTGTAAAGAATGTGTCTTTATACTTGATCTTAACTTCATGTTAATTACGGATGCATAAATTATGGTAACTTTGTAATTCATCCTCACAAATGTGATTCCTATCTTACCTAAGTGTCTAAATAACACACAGGGTACTGAAATTGTAAAAAGGAAAATATTACTTTAAAAAGCATGTAGCAAGCGTTAAATGAATCGCAGAAACATCCTGGTCCATGGAACAGTTTGTACAGTCCTTTGCAGTGACAATACAAATGCTATAAGCTGTGACCTTCCTTTTTCATGAAAAGACCTAGCAGAAAATTAACCGCAAGGTTTTGTTTGAAACAAAAGACTCCTTGTGGTAGCAAACAAAATCAGGGCACAAGTCACAAGAAATAGCATTGTATCAAAAACACTGCACAAAGGCAAAGCAACAATTTCTGACAGACTGCAAGTAAATCCAAGATTTTCCTAACTTTTGAGTTTTGCAAGATTCTTAAAGAGATCACGCTTATAGCTACAGTTCAGAAGACCATCCTGATTGCTTCTCTGCCTGAAGGCTAGGAAACTAAAAATAGACAGATTACTAATACAAAAACTATTAAGCTGCATGTAATTTCTTAGTTATGTTTCCACAAAGTATTTTCAATTCCTGTTTCACCGACTTTGTATCTGAGAAAGATTAATCATTACAGCATTGTAGTTAAATATCCAAATAGAAAACATTACTATAAACCATGATGTTATAGCAACATTTATGAACAAAGATTACTGTGTCTCGGCATTACTGTTTTGATTTTACTAGGACTCCATACATACATCTCTCCCAAAAAGCAACTGTGGTGCCGGGACATTGAAATACATGCAGTCTCAAACTCGATGATTCGTGAATGTCATTCACTGTTCTGTTTTGTATTATTGAATACTTATATCGTGGTACCTCCCATTTGCTCGGGGTTTTTCAAAATTTTTAGCAAGTATAGTATTTTTTTTTCTTTGTTATCTTGATCCCTACCAGGATTCAGTGGATTGCTTATGGAATTCTGAAAATCTCTCTCCTTGTTTTTTCTCCCTTAAAACTGTTGATTTGTTACACAGTCATCATATTTCTATCCAGCTTGCATTGAATTCACTTTCAAATTTATTTTCTTTCATCTGAAAGAATTACTATTGATGAGAACAGTCTTTTTGCTTAAAGTTTTTCAGATCCTCCAACTTTTTACTAGTAAGCCAAAACAGAAAAGCCCACTTTCTGAAAGAGACTTGTGTATCTAACCAAGTGGAAACACCTAAAACTCGTATTTCCCACATCAAAATAGAATCCACAAAACATCACATATTCTTCTGTGTGGTTAGTCCTCCCATTAGTTGCTGCTGCACGGTGAGACTAATGCTGAACTTCAGACTTGTTTTCCTCTCAAGTCAAGCACTTATAAGACATGCAGTTCTATGTCAGTGTTGCAGCATGTACGAATCTTTCCTGACTCTTGGCCAAAGTGACTCCCACATAGCATTAGCAGTAGCGTCACTAAGCCCTCGTCTAACCCCCTGTACGCCTTTTTTTTTTTCTTCCACAAATAAAACTAGAGTAACCAGGGAAAATTCAATGCATCACATCCATAGCAATGACTGCAGTGCAATGTTCTCTCTCAAAGAATAATATACAAATACATATTAATAACCACCTTTTGGCACAAGCCTTAGTAATTTCTACTTCTACTCCTTTCTGCCCACCAAACCAGCTCAGCTATTTTCCTATATTTTCACAGTTAAGACAAGATGATATGCATAAAGTTATTTTGTTACAGAACACCTGAACTGTTTTTCTTTGTGCTTTTAAAAATAGACAACAGTAATTTTAAAGGAGAAACACAAAAGGATTATCAATATGCTAAAAAAACCCCAATGCAATTCAACTTAAAAGGGTAGTTGCTGCAGTATTTTATATCTATGGAAATTACAATGATGTACCAAAGCTACCTGTGTATTCTTTGCTTCAGCAAAACAATGAAATCAGTGAAAATGGGAAAATAACTGTACTTGATGTTGTCACATTATTTACTTTACTTGTATGGCAAACCCCCTTCCCTGATATTGATCTGTCTTGTCCATTTAGATTGCAAACTAGTTTCGGCAGGGATTTTCTGCCACTTTGCGTCTAGAAAAATGCAATCCCATTCTTAGACAATCTGTAGGCACTGCTGCAATAAATGTGATCATTAACATCAAAATGTATGATTTTGCAAAACTCGTTATTTTTTCCTATTTTTAGCCAGACTTTAAGACCACAGTGGTTATATTATAGGTAAGTTGTTTTAATAACAGTAAGTACAAAGTCTTACTGTTACTAAAAATATGATGTTAAAGCAAACGTATCCTATCTTCATGAAACTTCAGTATTTTAATCTCTCCACATTACATATACATATAAACCCTTTCTTTCAAATGCCAGATACTACTTGTGAAAACAGTTCCACGGAATCAAACTTTTAGTACATTGTAAGCAATGAGATTCTTCTTTCTGAGGATATTAAATTCAATCAGAAATATTTCTGTATTTATTAAAATAACATGTACATAATGTTTTACACCTTTCAGAGCACATGTGCTTACAGAGCATGTGGTCTCTATAAATATACACATTATATATATTTAATTAGAGATTTAACTATATAGTTCTTATATATGTATTTAATGTATATATCTACATAATTAGCACATATGTTTAGAAATAATTGCATTACAACAACAAAAAAGGAGATATTAAACTTCTTCCTTCCAGCCTTCCTGAACTTGTTCAAAGATTAAGTCATACAGAAATATTTTTTGTATCTTTTAGTCTATAAAGCTGGCTATCTTAATTAGCCAAAAACTCTGAAAGATTTCAAATGAGTGAGAAAGTACAAGAGTTACACTTTCATTCTAGAAAATGTAAGTTAGGCAACACATGCAAGAAGTACAACAAAGTCCAATAATGTTGGAACCTTCCAACATTAAGAGTGCTGAATATACAACAAAGACATTCCCTTATAGTTAAAACCTTCTGTTTCTATATTCTTGAAGTTGCATACTAATAAGGCTTAAACCTGTAAAAAAAATTAATACCCCCCTTTCTGCAACTTAAATCAGCTCAGAGATAGAAATATGAGACAGAAATATACTTTTTGTGCATGTTTATCTAACAGCAAGACAATATAAATCTAACTTTGTACATTATGTGAGCAATGCTATCACACAGAGAGTAAATGTATAATTTCTATTTTATTCAGACATGTATTTCAAATATATACCAGAGATCAAATAAGTACATATTTAAATAACTCAACTGAATGACTGAGCTGAATTAAAAATATTATGTTGTATAACAGGAAAAACTACTAGGCAAGCTTCCTATATTTAAAGATAACTACAAAATTTATGATAGAAAGTAAGAGAAAATACTATTTGCCACTAACATTCCTGATTTAATGATCAAATGGGGACAGTGAAGTAATGAAGCCTTTTTCATTAATACCTATTTGTCTTTTAAAAAAATCCATAAACAATTATGGCAAAAATTTCCCAAGAGTCTGGACTAAAGGAGGTAGGTGCCTAATCCTCATTTTATTCTATTGGATTTGGGTGCCTAAATTCTATTAAGATTTCTTTAGAAATCACATCTTTAGATTTTAAGGCTGAAAGAGACTGTTACGACAATTCAAGTTTGGCATGCCTAACAGACTACAGAAACTCATTTAGCAATTCCTGTATAGGAAGTTTAATAGCTTCTGTTTGAAGTAAAGCACCTTTTTTTAGAAGCCCAACCAGCTATAGTATCTTAAAGATGGAAAGTCTAATTTTAATTTTTTTTTAATTAGCCATTAAAAAAATTCAATGTATTAAAAGTATAAAAGGGAGTGAACCCTATAATGGGGGAAAAATCCACCCTACACCCCAACAAATTGGACTCTTGCATTATTACTTGCTACAGAAAGGTTCTAAGTCGACAATTAAAGATGTACTCAGGTAAACCCATTCCAAAGTATCTTTTTGACTTTGGAGAGATAGCAGTCATTAAAAATGCATTGCTTTTTTTACAGCTTGAGCTGAAACAGATATATAATTATCAGATATCTAATTTATTAAAACACATAAATCAGCTTTCCTTTGGTTCAGTTCATTAATTTAAATAATGAAAACTGTAAATATTAATATTAGGTACAGTTCAGTAAGTACACTTCAAATGAGCTGGAAAAGATCTATCATTTAAGAAGAGGAAAAACTAGCTAAAAGTAAGTTTTATCTAAAGTGCTTAGTCTTAAAAGGTTTGAGGAATTCCAGCCTGGCTCATGTCAGAACCTTTCTGGGATCCAGAGATACCAGTCCACTAACATAAAGCCAACTAAAATCCAGTGAGGGTCATGATCTAGCGTTAAGTATTAGTGCACACATAGATGGGCCCAGGATCCTTAAAAACGTTGGTGCTTTTCTTTCATGGAAGTCTGGTATTCCTGCTCCTCCTCATAGAGACTACAACACTTACTGAGAAAGTAAGGGACAAATGTGAGTCTCTGGATTACCAGCTCTCCTCTTCCCTATTCCTCCCTCCAAGGCACCAATTACAGGGATACAGGGAAATGTTAGCTTGAATCCACTTAAGCAGAAAAGGAAACTCAAGTCTACAACTTTATCAGCGAGTGTTCAAGCTGTTTTCTCATTACTGCACATTTGGAGGAAGCCCCTCAATTCTTGCTAAGAAAGAAAGGTTGTACAGAGTCGGAGCAGCTGGACCTTCCCAGAAGCTGTTCCCAGTGCTTCTGTTCTCGAGCTGTAAGGAGCTGCAGTTCAGACACTCCAACTTGAGGTGGCTCTGAACGGTATACGTGATTGCACTGGATTGCACTGATGGGTACATCAGACTCTCCAGGTACATAGTAGAGAGCTTAGGTGTCTAAACCAAGGCTCTGAATTAAATTCTAAAGGGCACACCTAAAAATTAGGTGTTGCAGCACCTGTCTTTAGATACTCAAATTGTTATTTTTATCTCACCTATCGAAGGTGGAAAAAAATATTGCGGCTTTTAAAGAGGACAGCAGTCACATTAAGTGCTAACTTCCAAACTACAGTGGAAACCCCTCCAGCATTAATAACACACAAGCTATTCTTCAGTGCATATTCTAGCTCTGTGGTAAGGTTTTCAGGATAGACTGGTACCACTGAGATGCATTTTTCCAATGTCTGTGATAATAGCAAAAACCTTTTTTCCTAGATATTCCATAGAGCAACAATTCTTCCCACGTGCTCTTTTAGCACGCAAAACTGTAAAAAGAGGTCACCATTCTAAGTACTAAAACAAACGAACTGAAATGATACGAATTTCTTACACTGATTGCATTGCAGTATTTCACAGTTGCTCATAAGATTGCTTAATTTTTAATACCTTCCCATCTAACACTTCATTATAAATCAGCAGATAACGACAACTGCACATATACCACCTGAAGAAACCAGCTTGCAGAATAGGTCTTACAGTTGCAGTTAGATACAGAAAGTTAACTGTTGTAAATGTTGTAACATCAAACATACCAATATTCAATGTACAGGGATCAGGATTATGGCCTGTGTGGGCTAAACACTAATTTTATTTCAATAGTTAAGTAGCTATTTTCACTTTTCAAGATACTCCATTATCTTAAAGAACTGTTCAATACCAAAGGACCTAATTCTTCAAATGTCCGTTGTGCAATATTTTCCTTTACTGGGTATAAACCTGAATTTCCTTGCAATTTTAAACATTTACTCAGTGTTACACAAGGGAAATTAGATATTTTTTACATTTTATATCCATTTGCACAAGCGTAAATGTGCAGAAGGGTAAGGCAATCAAAAAACAGAGCTCCACAGAACCACAAACCTGAAATAACTATTTTGACTGTATTTTTTAATAATTAGGTCTTTAATGGCAACGTTTAGACCCATCAAGTCAGTGACAAAAGTGTACTTGCTTCCTGTACAACAGCTTCCACATTTTTTAATCCAGAGAAGCTGTGGCATTATAGCTTTAATTTTTCCCAATGTAGAAAACATTTGTGTGCAAAACCCCTGATTTATTATTGACTTAGATGGATTACCAAGCTCTGCTTCCTTCTTTAGCCTTGAACAAAGGCTAAAGTTCATGCCTTCACTGAGTAGCAGATGTTCATGAAGTTTGACCTACTGGGAGAGGAACGTGAACATGAACTCTAACTTCAGCATATTTCGCAGTTAGAAACGTATTTGACAAAGCCAGTTCCAAAAAAACCCAAGAAAAATAAAATGTTATTTCACATAAGTGTAATAGAAAGTATCTATTCACCCTTTATTTACACAAGATAGAAAAACATGCCTTTCTGGCCTTCTTATTTTTCTAATTCCTGTTTCTGTTTAATAGATTTCTAGCAGATCTTTGGAGAACATACCACTGGTTTGCTTGAGAACAAAAAAGAATAGTGCATCGTTACGAGCACTTCAGATTTCAAATAAGCTAGATATAATGAAAGGCTGTTGCAAGATTAGCTCTTGCCATTCAACTCTGAAAAATGGCAACAGTCCCATCTGTGTTGAAGACTAGAGGCAAGTAATTCAATAACAGAATATAATAGTATAATTTTATACCAACATGTCAGATTTAAGCTAAGCTAGAGATAATTAGAAACTGTTATAAGATTAGCACTTACCATTTAACATCAGAAGATTGTCAGTCCCTGGATGTGGATAACTCAAGCGACCTTAAAAGAAAACAAAAACCAAAGAACAAAACAAAACAAATGCAGAGGTTTTAGCTATTATGCTAGGAAAAATAATGAAAAATCACTGCTTAGAATTTAAATATAAACTATATTTCCAGTTTGCCTAAGGGAAATAAAGAGCTAATATTTAACTCCAAGCACATTAACCAACAATATCCTTGACCCAAGTTAAAGCTGACAAGAACAGACTTCTTAACCTTAATTCTCTGGTCATAAGATCTGCAATGTGCTTTGGGATCAGCTCCATTAGGATAAAGCCACTTTTTGTTTCATGACACCCAGAAATAGTGCTGACTGCTTTAGTCTTCTCTTTCATAGTGACTGTGAATAACTGTACTATGCACATTGCTTAACAGAGTGGCATTTCTACAGATTAGTGATTCACTACTGAACCAATTTAAGAAAAATCATGTTAATAGGAATTAAGGCATTAAAATTTTATTAACCGATTTATGACTGTACCTTGGTGTATTACATATAACCATTGTATGTAATATTTTTCAGTAAGTCTGGCAAAACTAGAGTACTGGTTTATCTACAGAATTAACAGAATTGAAGAATATGATAGATAACATTTTCAACATTTTATACTGAATAAAAATTACATGAAAACCTCATATCCTGATGTTAGAATTTTTCAAGTATTGAATTTTACTACACTGGTGGCATGTTATACTTTAATAGTTAAATGAATGGTTTAAAATGCACAGCTGAAGTGACTGTTCACCACAAATTCCTTTTTATTAAAAGAGACGTTTTCTGTTTACAGGAAGCTGCAAACATACCAGTAGTGCACACTGACCTAGAGAGACATTTACAATAGCTGCTGTGTTTGGAAGAAGTGTGCTTTAATGTGCAAAAAACTACATTTCCATCCATCTTGCTATTCAAACATACTTGCTTGCTTATAATCCATAAGCATATATAAAAAAAATACTGTAACTTAAACATCTTTTGGAGGAAATGAGAATGTTTGTGGAGACATAAAGAAGAATCCAGTCTGGAAGCAATGGATGTTTAGAACTCACACAGGTTTAAAGGGGAATATATATGCAGTTGGCTTGCAAGATGTGAGTAAGCATTAGTAAGACACTGTCATACTCTAATAGGGCTCACTCTTTCTAAAAAGAAGCACTGGGAAAAAACGGAAAAAAAGGAAAGAAAACCAAATCAGCAATCCATATATTAAGGTTGTCTAACAATTCCTATCATACACTGTTCCCCCCCGCCCCCGCTTTTT